GCTCACTCACCCTTCTTATGTCATGACAGCAAAAACAAAATAGGACTACAGAACTGACCCTCTCCTATTCTCCAGCACAGAGGGGAGTGATTATGCAGTCTTTAGAGATGGCTAAGATCAATAAAAGGACAGGACGTTATCAGCTTATAATGTTTCTGGTAGAATCAAAAGATATTTTTGTACCTATCAAAACACTTTCAAGAGTATATTTAAAAGACGAAAAAGTAGCAAATGCACTCCTCGCAGGGGCGTCCTTAGGGTTGTTGCCACCCGGTGTGATAATACTTGGTGACACCACCTCCAATGATCCCCGCAGGATGGTTCGGACTCCAATCCATTATGCTCAATCCACAGATCCGATCCATCCTGATGTGAATGTTCAATATATTTGTGTAAAGCGCTGCGTAAATTGACAGCGCTATATAAGTACCACAAATAAAATCCTGCGGGGATCGTCGGCTTGCTTTACAACTTACCTTTTTCGTGGAGCGGGTCCGGTGTCACCCCATGTAAGTTGCATGCTGACGATCCCCGCAGGATGGATCAGATCTGCAGATTGAGCATAATGGATTGGAGTCTGATTCATTATGCTCCCCAATCCGCAGATCCGATCCATGCTGCGGGGATCGTCGGCATGCAACCTATACGGGGTGACACCGGCCCCGCTCCACGAAAAGGTAAGTTGTAAAGCAAGCCGACGATCCCCGCAGGATGGATTGGATCTGCGGATTGAGCATAATGGATCGGAGTCCAATCCATCCTGCGGGGATCGTCGGCATGCAACCTATACGGGGTGACACCGGGCCCCGCTCCACGAAAAGTTAAGTTGTAAAGCAAGTCGACGATCCCCGCAGGATGGATTGGATCTGCGGATTGAGCATAATGGATTGGACTCCAATCTATACTGTTGGGATCGTCGGCATGCAACCTATACGGGGTGACACTGGACCCGCTCCACGAAAAGGTAAGTTGTAAAGCAAGCCGACGATCCCCGCAGGTTGGATCGGATCTGCGGATTGGGGAGCATAATGGATCGGACTCCGATCCATTATGCCCAATCCACAGATCCGCTACAAAAAACGAGATAGCGGAAATCTTCGTGAAACTGAAGATAGCCAAGAAAAATGAGATGGGGGGGGGGGGGGGGTATTACGCAATGATTTGGGCCGAATACTAATGTGAGTGGAAGAAGTAGAGGAGAGTATGGAGGCACAAGCTCAATTAACCTCCTTAGCGGTATTCCCGAGTGTAGCTCGGGGTAACATTTCAGTACCAAAAGCGGTAACCCCGAGCTACACTCGGGAATACCATGCGGCACTGCTCCGGCATGTGTTCTTCACTTACCTTACCCAGCGCTCCCACGATGTGTCCCCTGCAACGTCCCTGGCCATCTCCTCCGGCCGATGCCGGCATCCGGCTTCTTTGTCCTGTCCCTGTGACGTCGGGACGTACGGGCGCCGCCGCCGGGAAATTTAAAAATTTTAAAAAATGTCATTTTTTTTTTTTTTTTACATTTTGCATAGTAAAACATTGCTGTCTCAACCAATTTCACATACATTTTGTCCCGAGTGCTTTGTCCGGCGCCCTGCCTGCATTTTTACTGTTCTTTCTGCCTGGAAACTGAGAAACGTCCATGGCGTCCAAAAAGCGTCCCTTTAGGTCAAAAGCGGTTTTAGATCAGCTAGAGAACAGCGATAGTAAATCAGAACCACTTGCAGAATTGAGTGATAATGATTCGTGGGGGAAATTCCTCATCAGACACTGAAAACGATTCTGCGACTGAGCTCAGCGATGTGCGAACTTGGCGCTATATTTCAAATTTCAGTGTTTTTGGTTTGATTATATTATTGAATTAATTTTTTATTATTTTTATGATTATTTATTAAATTATAATTTATGATTTTGTGTTTCAAATTTTATCATCCCCGGGATGTTTACTAGACTCTTGTTCAGACAGATTTCAGTGAGTTATTCCTAAATATTACAGGCCTACAATTAAAAAAATACATATTTCCATGCAAAAAAATGGTACCGCTTTCAGCACCAAAAATCTGAAATAATCATACCGCCAGGGAGGTTAATAAATTAGAAATGCAGGTGGAGGAAATGCGTAGGGAACAGAGAAAGCGCTCATTTAAACTGGAAGACCAAGAGAACTGTGATAGAAGAAATGACCTAAGGATCTGGGGTCTACCAGAAGAGGAGCAAGGAGACGATCTACGTGATAAAATAGAGTGTTTAATCCATTGAGAAGACCAGTGACAGATCACCTGAAAATTGAGAGATTACATCGGATTAGACGACCACAAGGAGTGTCGACGGAAAGCCCCAGAAATGTGATAGTTCGAGTTCATCATGACGAAGACAGAGAAAAAAATATGTAAAAGTTTTGCGTGATCCCTCCGCAATAAAATATGAGGACACAAAGCTGCATATCTTTGCTGACATTGCATCAGAGACTCTAGCTAGAAGATATTTGAAGCCCCTGCTAGATCAGATGAGAGAGAAAAAAGTTTGATATAACTGGGGCTTTCCAGCATTCCTGATCGGATGGAAAGACGGAAAATTGGCAAGGCTGAGGTTCCCAGAAGACGTTAGTGACTTTTGTGAAAAAATAGACTTACAGAAAATGGACCTTGAAGGGTGATCACTGGGGCCTCTGGAGAGTGTAGGGCAGGGGTCAGGAAAGTGGCAGCGGGTATCTAAGAAGAAGAAGTAAATAGACATGGTGTAGCTGGGGGAGGGTAGGGGAGGGAGGCCGGGGGGAAGGGAGAGGAGGAATATTCCTAAATTTCTCCCGGAGCCTGGAGTGTTTTTTTTTTTCTTTTCTTTCTCCTCCTCTATAAGAATTTTATAGAACAAATTAAAGATGAAAAAGGAGCAATGTGTACTCCACCACTGCTTCCTCCTGGGACGGGTGATGTAAGCACCCTAGATGGCTGCAAGACCAGATACACCTCATTTGGGCCTAGGCCAGACTGGTGGTTTTTGGGGGGAGCTAAAAATTTAATTCACGAAAATAGAAACTTTTCCAGCAATCCTACAGGTGAATGGGGCAAGCTTAAAGAGGAGTTAATGCCCTATTGGGAGTTTAGTTCTGCTTCAAGAGTAACCCCTTTCTACTGCCACCTCCTGATCCTTTAAGAGGATATAAATGTGGGGAGGTGGAGACAGGCATTCCGATCATGTGACTGCCTCTCACAGAAGTCACATGATCAGAAAGATCCCAATCACAAGTATGCATCGCTGTGATACAATAGTTACTCTGCCGAGAGCACACTTTCACAGCATAGTAAACAGTTTATCGATGGATTCATACATGCAGCCGCTTGGCATTGAAGACCAGCCACTGAGAGGGTACATAGATTTGGGCAGCTGGTGGGAAGCAATTAAAAGAAGAAACATTGTTATTTGTAAACTAAGGCCCCTTTCACCCTGATGGACCGATCGGGACCGCCTGTCAGTTCTTCAGGCGGACCTGTTTGGACCATCTGTAGACCTCTATGGACCGGCGGGTGTCAGCAAAGGGCTGACACCCGCCGGCATCCGATACTGTACACCAAAAACAGACGGATGGAGATCCATTCCCCATCCCTTTGCTGAATCGGATGGAAATGGACAGGTGGTCTGTTTCCATCTAACTGCCCCATAGATGGCAGTGTCTGTGTCCGCTCTGCAGCAGCAGAGCGGACACAGACCTGTCATTCGCCTGCTCAGCGGTGATCAGTGGAGAAATCCCCCGCTGAACAGGCGGATCCGCTGCCAGGTCTGTTCCATCTGAAAGTGGCCTAAAGTATTTTTATTTTTTAATATTTAATTAAAGCTTTATATTTCATAGACCCACTACAATCAGCACACACTCGATTAAACCATGAAATACTGGAAAATATATAATTTGGTGAGAAATCCAGCAAGCTCCCAATTTCCCCCCATTTGAGCTCATACTACTGCACCTCTTCTGTGCGGATATCCCAAGCAGTGGTGTCAGTCCGGCTCAGCTCTCCCCTGCTGGACTACAGAACTCCTCCTGTTCCATTTCCCTCTTCATAAGCATGCATTCATTTCTTTCCCTGAAAAACAATGCTTCTGTTGTGACTCTCAAGAGCTTGCCCACACACTAGGGCAGAAGTGCTCACTGTGGCCGGCAGAGCCCCCTGATGTGGCCCTTGACCTCAAACCAGGGAAGTACATGCCCAGGGTTTGGCAATCTATTGATCGTGATCTGGGCTTCCTGACCCACCTTCGCAGAGCATTCGAGTGCATCAAGCTGGCGCTGGCAGTAATGGAAGCAGGAGCTGCATAAGTCAATGCTTCCTCTAGCGCTGGCTCCTGTCCCAGACGCAGTGATACCAAGTGCACTTCACCTGGGACCTTTCTATCAGCCTGGAGACGGAGAGCCAGCAGAAGGGGAAAAGATCAATGTATTAAACATCACCTACACTGCAATCTAATTACAAAAAAAAAAAAAAAAAGCACCAAACCAAAAAAAAAAACATTCAGAAGATTTTGTGAAATAAATATCCAGGCAAATTACACTTACAGAATATGTGAAATATATAAAAGTAGGCGCCAGCCAAATATAACGGGATACAAATTCAAAGGAAAAATTACCATATAAATTAGCACATAAAATAAATTACCGTATTTTTCGCTCCATAGACGCACTTTTTCCCCTCCAAAAAAATGGGGGAAAATGTCTGTGCGTCTTATGGAGCAGCCAGCCCGGTATTCCCCCCGCCACCGTGTTAGAATACCGGGCCGGCCGCTCTACTGTGCTGAAGAACCTGCTCCTCAGCCCAGCGGTGTCCTGCTTTCACCGGCCGTCTTCTCTCCCCGGCGCCGGCATCTTCAGTGTGGGCACCCGGCTGTGACAGCTTGCGGCTTTTGGAACCTGTCAAGAGTCCCTCCCACAAGACTATGGGGAGGACAACGGCATGGAAGTGGGAACCTGTCAAATTCTGGTACCCGACATCCCGCTCCCCAAAGGTCTGCAGGCTCTGACCGTCTCTTGTACTATGTCTGCAGTCTCTGGTCATCTCCTGTACCGTGTCTGCAGTCTCCGGCCAGCCCCTGTACCGTGTCCGCGGTCTCCGGCCAGCCCCTGTACCGTGTCCGCGGTCTCCGGCCATCTCCTGTACCGTGTCCGCGGTCTCCGGCCATCTCCTGTACCGTGTCCGCGGTCTCCGGTCATCTCCTGTACCGTGTCCGCGGTCACCTCCTGTACCGTGTCCGCGGTCTCCGGTCATCTCCTGTACCGTGTCCGCGGTCTCCGGTCATCTCCTGTACCGTGTCCGCGGTCTCTGGTCATCTCCTGTACCGTGTCCGCAGTCTCCGGTCATCTCCTGTACCGTGTCCGCAGTCTCTGGTCATCTCCTGTACTATGTCCGCAGTCTCTGGTCATCCCCTGTACTGTGTCCGCAGTCTCCGGTCATCTCCTGTACTGTGTCCGCAGTCTCCGGTCATCTCCTGTACTGTGTCCGCAGTCTCTGGTCACCTCCTGTACTGTGTCCGCAGTCTCTGGTCACCTCCTGTACTGTGTCCACGGTCTCTGGTCATCTCCTGTACTGTGTCCGCAGTCTCCGGTCATCTCCTGTACTGTGTCCGCAGTCTCTGGTCACCTCCTGTACTGTGTCCGCAGTCTCTGGTCACCTCCTGTACTGTGTCCACGGTCTCTGGTCATCTCCTGTACTGTGTCCGCAGTCTCTGGTCACCTCCTGTACTATGTCCGCGGTCTCTGGTCACCTCCTGTACTGTGTCCGCAGTCTCTGGTCATCTCTTGTACCGTGTCTGCAGTCCATTGGTTCAAAATATTTGTTTTGTTTTCCTCCTCTAAAATCTACTGTAGGTGTGTCTTATGAAGCGAAAAATACGGTAATAAATATCATATAGTCCAAAATAGTAAGGTAAAAAAAAAGTCCCAAACACCAAAACTGATGTGGCATTAAAACTGGTAACCAAATCCTCTTGCAACTCCCAACTGTGCTCTACCACCATGTACACTGTGTACTACCAGCCAAAAATATGCACTCACCAGATTAACTCGGCCAACAAAGTAGCCAGCAAGCACAGATCTTGTATACATTTGGTGGGATGCCTGGTCCTGCAGAATCCTTCATACCACCTCCTCCATTCTCAGCATCTGTCTCAGGAAAGAGCCCAGAAAGTATTCATAGTGCAGTAAGTTTTTATTTAAAAAAAAAAAAAAAAAAGATTAAATCATATGCACTAACATGTTAATGGTGCCACAGGGAGCACCAACCCAAACAGCTCACTAGGGGGATCCTTCTCCTCACACCGTCGATATTCCCGTGGCCGCCGTGAGTTCCAGCAACCAGATGTGAAGTGTGCGGCTCAAGTCATTATTTATTTCAGGTACTTATATAGCGCCATCAATTTACGCAGCGATTTACATATATATTGTACATTCACATCAGTCCCCGCCCCCGAGGAGCGTACAATCTAAGGTCCCTAACTCACATTCATACATACACATACTAGGGACAATGTAGGCAGGAGCCAATTCACCTACCAGCATGTCTTTGGAGTGTAGGAGGAAACCGGAGTACCCAGAGGAAACCCACGCAGGCACAGTCATAATGAATTTTGTGCTGAGCGCGTCCTCAGGCTTTCAGTTTTGGTGTTTGGGACATTTCTTCACCTTACTTTTTTGGACTACAGGATATTTGTTTGTTTTATGTGTCAATTGATATGGTCATTTTTTTCTTTGAACTTGTATCACGTTATGTTTGGCTACTTTTTTTGTATTTCATCACATACACTGAACTTTTGCAATGGACATATTAGCACCTAAAAGGGTTAATAACTAATAGGCTGCATTACCACTGATCCGCGGGTGCAGCTCAATACACTTGTGGCTTTTTTGAGGATTTGCTGCATTGAGCCCGGGTTCACACTGATGTGGTGCGGAATTCACGTTTTCTGTGTGAATTCCGCACCGCATCAGAATCGCACCCCATTCATGCGAACCGATGCAGGTGTATATGTTAACAACACCTCAAAATCGGTCCGCAAAACGCAGTGCAATGTGCAGAATCGGATCATATAAGGTGTGAATAGCCATGGGTGGACTCAAAAAAGGATCCTGCACCTTTTTGGTGCGGTGCAATTTGAGCCGTACAAAATGTACGGCTCCGACCGCATCGCACACAAATTGCATGTGGTTTGCACAGGAATGCAGTGCGGTTCCTGTGCAAATCACATGCGATGTACTGCACCACATTAGTGTGAACCTAGGCTGAGCCATAGACTTCTATTATATCCTGCAGGTTTGGTGCACTTTCAAAAAGTGCACAGCTGCAAGATATAATGGAAGGCCATGGCTCGGTGCAGCTCGCCTCCAGGAAAGCTGAGCAGGTCCACCGCTCCTCATCAGTTTGAAAGCAGCTTTATAGAGGGCTCGTTTGTGGTTTGGGGGAGGTAAAGCCCAATAGTTGTGACAGGTATTTACCACACCCTCCCCAACCACTGATGCAGCATCAGGGGTCGCAACGGCAACTTCACCCCATGCTCCAGGGGGCTTGTGCGGCTTCCCTGTCCCCTTCTGTTTTACACTTTGACAGGAGCGGCATTATACGGGAACCGGGCCTCTCCCATTTACTCCTGCAACTGCTGAAAGCCGGCTTCTCCTCCTCTCACTCCCGCTGGGCACTCAGTGGCTGCAGAAAGAAAATGTTTATTATGCAATTCAAAATAAAAAAAAGATTCAATTCTGAACCATTTAAATTTCATTGTGGCCCGCACCCGGTTACCAAATCACCTAAGTGGACCTCGCTCTTCAAAAAGAGAAGCAGCTTTGGTGTAGGGAATGGGATCTTGGAAGATGTAGTTCTGGAAGACGGGCCTGCGGCAATAGGAACTGATAGGCAGCACAGTGGCTAAATGATTAGCACTTCCGCCTGGCAGTACTAGGGTTGTTGGTTCGAATCCCAACCACGGCACCACCTGCCTGGAGTTTGCATGTTCTCCCTGTGCCTGCGTGAGTTTCCTCCCACACTCCAAAGACATCCTGGTAGGTGAATTGGATCCTGTCTAAATTGTCCCTAGTATGTGTATGTATGAATGTGAGTTAGGGACCTTAGATTGTACGCCCCTTGAGGGTGAGGGACCTTAGATTGTACGCCCCTTGAGGGTTAGGGACCTTAGACTGTACGCCCCTTGAGGGTTAGGGACCTTAGACTGTACGCCCCTTGAGGGTGAGGGACCTTAGATTGTACACCCCTTGAGGGTTAGGGACCTTAGATTGTACGCCCCTTGAGGGTTAGGGACCTTAGACTGTACACCCCTTGAGGGTTAGGGACCTTAGATTGTACGCCCCTTGAGGGTTAGGGACCTTAGATTGTACGCCCCTTGAGGGTTAGGGACCTTAGATTGTACGCCCCTTGAGGGTTAGGGACTGATGAGAATGTAAAGTGCTGTGTAAATGGATGGCGCTATATAAGTACCTGAAATACATAAATAAATATCTCAGCAGCTGGTCCAGCAGAAGACTTTTACAAGCCCAAAGATGTCACGGGGTGATAAAACGAACAGAATTAAACAAAAAAAAAAAATGCTGAGAATGCTCTAGAAGGGGGGGGAGAAGTTTGGGGGGTAATGCCTGGATTATACCGCGATTAACCATTGATAGGATTTGCAACTGCACACCTTATATTTGTGAAATGATAAGAAAGTCATCACAAGGTAAATGTATATATTTATTTACACACTTTTATTAGAATAGTGCTGCTGTATTTTACAGCACTTTATGTACAACACTGAACCATTCATACCAAACCGTGACGCCCAAAGGAGCTGACACTCTAATGCCCACACCAAATGCAAACACACATAGAAGTCAATAAACATAGCAGCCGGTATTTGTATTGCAGGAGCAACAATCCTAAATAAATAAAGGGTGGGGAGAACAGATAAAGCTCATTTTTGTGTAACTGAACTCAGGCCTCTGGATTTGTAAAGTAGAACTATAGGTAAAACTTTTTTTAGCCCATTATGTATAGAGCAAAGAAGGGTTATAACCCCCCCCCCGTCAGATTTGTTTCTTTTTCGCAATCTGTGTCCCATTGTGGAGACTTCACTTCCTGTCCCATAGCCAAACAGGAAGTGAGAGGAAATCCCTGCAAGTTAAGGTACCGTATTTTTCGCTCCATAAAACTCTTCCCCCCCCCCAAAAAAAAATGGGGGAAAATGTCTGTGCGTCTTATGGAGCTGCCGGCCCAGTATTCCCCTGGTTGCCGGTGTGTTAGAATACCGGGCCAGCCGCTCGGCTCCTCGGTCCAGCGGTGTCGTCACTGGCCATCGGCATCTTTAGCGTGGGCGCCTTGCTGTGACAGTTTACGGCTTCACAGCCGGGCGCCCACTTCGCATGTGCGAGAAGCTCTGCGCTTTGTGAATGGGCCCGTAGTTTTCTGGGACCTGTCACATGTCCCATAAAACTACAGGGAGAGAGGTGGTCACAGCGCAAATGGGAGTGGGTACCTGTCAAATTTGGTTACCCACCCCCCAAAGGTCCGCAGTCTCTGATAGTCTCCTGTACCGTGTCCGCAGTCTCTGGTCGTCTCCTGCACCGTGTCCGCAGTCTCTGACCGTCTCCTGTACCACTATGTCCGCAGTCTCTGACCGTCTCCTGCACCGTGTCCGCAGTCTCTGACCGTCTCCTGCACCGTGTCCGCAGTCTCTGACCGTCTCCTGCACCGTGTCCGCAGTCTCTGACCGTCTCCTGTACCACTATGTCCGCAGTCTCTGACCGTCTCCTGCACCGTGTCCGCAGTCTCTGACCGTCTCCTGTACCACTATGTCCGCAGTCTCTGACCATCTCCTGTACCACTATGTCCGCAGTCTCTGACCGTCTCCTGTACCACTATGTCTGCAGTCTCTGACCGTCTCTTGTACCGTGTCCGCAGTCTCTCATCATCTCCTGTACCGTGTCTGCAGTCTCTGGTCGTCTCCTGTACTATGGCTGCAATCCGTTGGTTCAGAATATTTTTTTTTCTTGTTTTCCTCCTCTAAAACCTAGGTGCATCTTAAGGTCAGGTGCGTCTTATGGAGCAAAAAATACGGTATTTCCTTGAGGAGAGCCCCCGGTCACCAGAACCAGTGTCCCCATTGGAAGATTTCCTCTCTATTACTTTTCTGGGGACAACCGAAAATGTGGATTTTCTTTACTTTCAACGATATTGGTAAACAGGACATACTTATACGTTATACTTTTAAGGCAAGCGTAGTATTTGTTAGGCACAGAACTCCCACAATGCAATGCTTCCTTTATAACATTGTGCATCGATGGATGGGTGATTTTACTATAAGTTGCTCACCTTGATAAATGCTGGTGTAGTCTTTTTTTTTTTTTTTTTTTTATATGGACTAAAAATTTTAAATAACTGCACCCTGACAAATTCTGTGTTTATAAAGTAGAAAATATAAAAATACTTTGATCCGTGTATCCGATGTAATGGAAGTGATTGTCTTTACGCTTTCTGACATTTTACCCCATGAACACTGCCCCCCTCTTACTAACACATGATAATGAGCACAGATTTAAAGCAGAACTCCAGTCATCAAGCAAAAATTAAGTCAGGCCCCCCCTCCATTCTGGTCACTGTACATTAAATACTCTTTTAAATAATTTTTAAAACGCCCTTTCAATTCTAAACGTTCAGCCAAGTGACGGCTCTACATAGTTTTTTTAAACACCTTTTTCATTTCTAAACGTTCAGCCAAGTGATGGCTCTGCGCTTCCTTCCTCCTCTTTGCCTTTTGTATGACACGGAGCAACTTGATGGTATCATCGCAGCGCTCCCCCCGTACAAGTCTCACAGCTCAGCTCTAGCTGCAATGGGTGTTACACCCTTCGTTTTTTTTGGTCGAAAGTCCTGCCACCAACACCCCTACACACCCTCACAAAAAAACGGGGCTAGAGCAAAGTTATGTAATATGGATGTCAAGTCAGTGTTGGTGGGCAAACATAGACCACAACTCCACCACTAGTAACGTCCACTTACAGCGCTGGGATCCCCGGGTCACCCCTGTAACCTGGAGAACTACAGAGGATGTCTGACGTTCGCCTTACACCTCTACATATTCGTTCAGACACGAAAGGATCAAAATAGTTCAGCCTAGCGTTCGATGGTGCTTTCAAGGACTTTACCAATTTCAAACAACTGTTCATTTGAGTTGCATCTCAACGTCTCAATTTTTGATTGACAATCTGGAATAACTAAGACAAGTGCATGTGCATTACACTAGGTAAGATTTTTCAAACCTGGAAGCAAATGTAATAAACGTGGAGTCGTTCGTTAGCATTGGATTAGACAGTTTCCAATCTTGTAAGCGATTGTCGAATCATCGCCTATGACTCTTTGGTAATCAGAAGAACGTTCCAAAAATGAACATTTTTGAACACAAAACTCTACAGGTGCAGGGCTAGCTTTAACAAGAGCTAGAGTAGATGGGAAATGCTGTGAGATGCTTCCTGTCATTCATCCAGAAACTCTTCTAAAGATATTGGTGGGGAGAGAATCTACGGGAACGGCAAAGGGGGAAATGTCCCCCACAAGGGGGAAAACAAGGATAGTAGTACCCTTACCAGCTAGAAGCCTAGGTATGTAAAATAATGGAGGCTGGTGTTCCTCTGTCACTTGCTGCTGTTTTAGAAAAGTAATTTAATACAGGACACTGCTAGCACTGTGTACCTGCTCTGTCATGCAGTGCTCGTGGCGGCAGTGTCCAGTATGAAAGTCCATAGGGAGAGCTAACACTGGAGGACTGGTGTACAGTGGTGGCAGTGTCCAGAATGAAAGTCTAGGGAGAGCTGTGTACCTCGCCAGTCCTCTAGAGGCAGAGCTAACACTAGACTTTCTTACAGGACAGTTCCGCCACTGTGTACCTGATCAGTCCTCCGGTGTTGGCTCTCCCTATAGACTTCCATGCAGGACAATGCCACCACTGTGTACCTGATCAGTCCTCCAGTGTTGGCTCTCCCTATAGACTTCCATGCAGGACAATGCCACCACTGTGTACCTGATCAGTCCTCCAGTGTTGGCTCTCCCTATAGACTTCCATGCAGGACAATGCCACCACTGTGTACCTGATCAGTCCTCCAGTGTTGGCTCTCCCTATAGACTTCCATGCAGGACAATGCCACCACTGTGTACCTGATCAGTCCTCCAGTGTTGGCTCTCCCTATAGACTTCCATGCAGGACAATGCCACCACTGTGTACCTGATCAGTCCTCCAGTGTTGGCTCTCCCTATAGACTTCCATGCAGGACAATGCCACCACTGTGTACCTGATCAGTCCTCCAGTGTTGGCTCTCCCTATAGACTTCCATGCAGGACAATGCCACCACTGTGTACCTGATCAGTCCTCCAGTGTTGGCTCTCCCTATAGACTTCCATGCAGGACAATGCCACCACTGTGTACCTGATCAGTCCTCCAGTGTTGGCTCTCCCTATAGACTCTCATACAGGACAATGCTGCCACTGTGTACCTGACCGGTCCTACAATGTTAGCTCTCCCTTTAGACTTTCGCTAGTGAAGGTAGTTTTGCTTTCCCTGATAATGACATTTTAAATAAAACCTTTGTTTTCATTACATACCCTATTTGAGCCCTAATGATGACATCACTGGGTTTCTGTGCTTCTCTATGCAGTGCAGACAGATCATGGCTGGTGGGAGGGGCTGGGTGCCGTACACAACTTCCTGAAAACATCACAGCACCCGCCTCAGTTCTCCTCTCAAGAACCCTCATCAAGCATCTGTGTATTTAGCCTTTAGTTCAGCTTTAGATATAAAGCATATTCACTAGGCCAGCTCTACAATACTCTAGGTGGACTTCATCCTCATAGAAAGGTTTTATGACACAGAAGATCAATGTGCTGTGTAGAAGACAGCTAGAAAACCTGCTCTGCTATCAGGACAGAGGAGGAGCATTAAAAAAAGGTATTGACCCCAATGCAGAAAATCAATCAGAACATCCCACCTGACCACCATGTTCTTCCTGTGTGACACCAACTAAAAGGGTGACAACTCCAAGACACACCATACCGTACATCCAGCATTATGGAATCCCCATAGTGATAGGACATCATGGTCCCCTGGCATCCCACCTGTGTCCCAAAGGCCACATACAGCCCTTTGGTGAAGTGTGGCCCTCAGGCCTAGCAGTAAGCAGAGGAAGAACTGGTGTGTAAAGGGGGCTCAACGGCCAAGTTCTCCTTCCCAAAAAAAAAAATCAAAGCACATTTTTGCAGGTAAAAACGTGTTTTTTTTCTGTCCCCTCAGGAGCCTGCAGAGCATCGCACCGGCAATCAGTAGGCTGTGGGTGCAATATCAGGCTCTCTCCCTCCAGCTTACTGCCCATACCTCTGTACAGGCTGTTAGAAAGCTGGAGGAAGAGTGAATGAACTACAAGAGCGCTCATCAGTGCCCTCCTAATTCATCGAGAGCTACAAGCCAACTGCCGCGGTGGCAGGCAGGACATGTAGTTTTTCATTCACAGATTCTTGTGAATAGATGCAGAGTCTCACACAGCTGCACCAATTTTAACCGCGTCTGCACCACCCTATAGCAGAAATACTGCTACAGGGGGCACGGGTGTGAAAAATCACGTGCATATGCATGTGATTTTGCACTTCCAGGTAGTGGGCGCACGCTGCCATTCGTGGCCTCGGCTGGTAATCACCGGATCCCGGCCGGTGATTCCCCGCTGGAACCCGGTGATCTCTGAGTATTACCGATGGGGGAGAGATCTGTATGTAAACAATACAGATCTTTCCCATCCCGTGAGCTCCTGCACACTGCTTAGTATTGCACTGTATAGCAGAGCCATACAAAGCACCGGGTCCTGGCCGGTGATTACCTGCCGGCACCCAGTGATCTCCGAGTATTACCAACAAGGGAGAGACCTGTATGTAAACAATACAGATCTTTCCCGTCCCGTGAGCTCCTGCACACTACTTGGTATTGCTCTGTATAACAGAGCCATACAAAGCACCAGGTCCCAGCCAGTGATTGCCTGCCAGCACCCAGCAATCTCCGAGTATTAATGACGGGGGAAGAGACCTGTATGTAAACAATACAGATCTTTCCCGTCGCGTCAGCTCCTGCACATTGCTTGGTATGGCTCTGTATAGCAGAGCCATACAAAGCACTGGGTCAATCACCGGGTGCCGGCCTGTGATTCCCCGCTGGCACCCAGCGATCTCTGAGTATTACCGATGGGAGAGAGACCTGTATGTAAACAGTACAGTTCCCCTGTCAGCTCCTACACACTGCATAACAGAGCCATACAAAGCAGTGTGCTTACAGTGAAACACACAGCCCCCATAGTAAAACAGCACACAGTTAACCCTTTGATCGCCCCAGATTTTAATCCCTTCCTGCCCAGTGCCATTAGCTTTTTTTTTTTTTAGCACTGATCACTGTATTGGTGTCACTGACATCCCCAGTGACACCAAGTCAGTTTTCCCCCCCAGTGTCAGAATGTCCGCCGCAGTCCTGTTATAAGTCGCTGATCGCCGCCATTACTAGTAAAAAAATTCCAGTATATATGCTGCCATTTGTAAATGCTATAACTTTCACGTAAACCAATTCATTTACATTTTTTTTTTTTTTTTTTTAGCAAAGACGGAGCAGAATACATTTTGGCCTAAATTTATGATGAAATTTGATTTTTTTAATTTTTTCACTGGGCATCTTTTATAGCAAAAATATAGTTTTTTGTTTTTCAAAATTGTCCGTCTTTTTTTGTTTATAGCTCAAAAACATTAAAAAACGCAGAGGCAATCAAATACTACCGAAAGAAAGCTCTATTTGTGGGGGGGGAGAAAAAAAAAAAGACGATGTAAATTTCATTTGGGTGCAGCGTTGCATGACCGCGCAATTGTCAGTTAAAGTAACGCAGCGCTGTAACGCACAAAACAGCCTGGTCAGGAAGGGGGGTAAATCCTCGGGAGGTCGAGGGGTTAAAAGGTGATAGTTTGGGGGGCTAGGAAGGGGTGCTGCATCGTCATCTGTTACACCCTAAATACAGCTGTAACTAAATGGGAACTTCTCTATCCTTTAATACCCGTAATTTAGTGTTTCATGGAACATCACCAGCCTCCAAATGTCTCTACCAGCATGACGTCAGTCCCCAACCCCTCCTGTAGGTTGGCCTCTGACCATTCCCTCTAATAAGTTCAGGCCATGACAGTCTTTTGCAGCATTGTATTTAAAAAGGGAAATGAAGAGGTTTGTCTCCCCAAAGTGTGAACCGTGAAGAAGGCAAGTTTGTTATAAGGCCTTGTGGGATGGTGATAAAAATATGAAATGTTATGAGCAGCAGAGACGCTCTGCATCGTCCTGCTTGCCAAGGTCCAGGGCGGAGGTCAGAGAGGACAGATCTGTAGAGGAAAGGTCCAGGAAGAGCTGTAATTGGGCTCGGAGGTCCTCGATGTGTTTAGATTTCTGCAGCAGAATCTCATCCAACTTTCTCACATAGTCCGGGAAATCCTGCAAAACATATATATTGTGTTATATTAGGTTCCAGAACAGTCTGTGACATCACTGATGTCTGTGATAGAAAGGAATATTAGTCTCACACTCCTGCTGCTTGCTGCCCACTCCACAATGATTGGCCATCGGCGGCAGATCTGTGCTGGGCATCCCCAGATGCACTTCACTGCCACCAATTTTAAAGTGTTACTAAACCCCGTACCCCGCATTCACTATATCTCCCCGCTCTATCTGGTCCCCGGACCCCGCATTCACTATATCCGCTCTCCCCAGACCCCGCAGTCACTATATCCGCTCTCCCCGGACCCCGCATTCACTATATCCGCTCTCCCCGGACCCCGCATTCACTATATCCGCTCTCCCCGGACCCCGCATTCACTATATCCGCTCTCCCCGGACCCCGCATTCACTATATATCCGCTCTCCCCGGACCCCGCATTCACTATATCCGCTCTCCCCCGGATCCGCTCTCCCCCCGCATTCACTACATCCGCTCTCCCCGGACCCCGCATTCACTACATCCGCTCTCCCCGGACCCCGCATTCACTACATCCGCTCTCCCCGGACCCCGCATTCACTACATCCGCTCTCCCCCGGACCCCGCATTCACTACATCCGCTCCCCCGGACCTCCCCGGACCCCGCATTCACTACATCCGCCGCTCTCCCCGGACCCCGCATTCACTACATCCGCTCTCCCCGGACCCCGCATTCACTACATCCCGCTCTCCCCGGACCCCGCATTCACTACATCTGCTCTCCCGGACCCTGCGTTCCCTATATTCGCTCTCCCACAGTACACACAACATGGAAATGCCATTATTTTAGTAAATAGAAACTGCTAAAAACCTTTTCCCGTCAGCAGTATATAGCAGTCTTGTGACTTCTATCAGTGTCCAGCTGAGCACTGGTTAAAGCTTGTTAGAGGAGTTTTCTGCTTTAGGAGGATGCAGAACCCCTGACCTCTTTTGGGACAGTGCTGATCACAAGCATCCTCCCAATAAGAGAGAAAAAAAAAACTTCTCTAGCAATACATACCAGGAGATAAGAGGGGGACACTGGAAGAAGGGGAGGATCAGAGAAGACAGGATCAAACAGTACCTTTTTACACAATGCAGAGGATTAACCCCTTAGGTCCCCAGTGAGTATAACAAGCATGCTTTACTGCATCTACAGACTGATTGTACTGCTGGGGGTGTAGTAACAATTTAAGCATTGTATGCCCAGGGCTATGGGCTTATGATAGTGTCAGCTACCTAGTGCCCTTCCTCTCATTCCCCGTGTTATCCAATGTATGGATTCTGGACAACTCTTTTGGATTTTTGCCTGAACTTGACCTTGGATTGCTTCCTGAATTACACTTGCTCACTACCTGCCCTGACCTCAGACTGATATACTGGATTACACATACCAGATGCCTGTCCTGACCTTGGACTGTCCCAGGATTCTGCGATCAGTCTCAATCTCAATGATACAAAATCAAAACTTACAAAAAAAAAAAAAAAACAAACACAAATCTGAAAAAGAAAACCAATTACCTTTTTTTTCAGTTGGAGACTGTTTTTTAGGATTCCACAATATGTCTATGTGACCATTCCACCAATACTTTATTATTCTGCTCCCCCACCCCCTGCCCTGTTTTCTTTTTTTCCCCCAGGAGCCATCAGAAGTCAGGAATAGGCAGTGGGGAAGAGATTCCTGCCTTCCACCTGTTCTCAGATGTAATGCAAGCACAGGGGAGAACATGCATACTCCATACAATGTCCTGACCGGAATTTGAATTGGGCACGTATCTTAACCCTGTAACCTGTAGGAGACCCCAAAGTGGCAGATTCTCTGTAGGAGACCCCCAAGGCGGCAGACTCTCCTGTAAGAGACCCCCAAGGCGGCAGACTCTCCTGTAAGAGACCCCCAAGGCGGCAGACTCTCCTGTAAGAGACCCCCAAGGCGGCAGACTCTCCTGTAAGAGACCCCCAAGGCGGCAGACTCTCCTGTAAGAGACCCCCAAGGCGGCAGACTCTCCTGTAAGAGACCCCCAAGGCGGCAGACTCTCCTGTAAGAGACCCCCAAGGCGGCAGACTCTCCTGTAAGAGACCCCCAAGGCGGCAGACTCTCCTGTACGAGAGACCCCCAAGGCGGCAGACTCTCCTGTACGAGGACCCCAAGGCGGCAGACTCTCCTGTACGAGACCCCCAAGGCGGCAGACTCTCCTGTAAGAGACCCCCAAGGTGGCAGACTCTCTGTAGGAGACCCCAAGGCGGCAGACGCTCTGTAGGAGACCCCAAGGCGGCAGACGCTCTGTAGGAGACCCCAAGGCGGCAGACGCTCTGTAAGAGACCCCAAGGCGGCAGATGCTCTGTAAGAGACCCCAAGGCGGCAGACTCTCCTGTAAGAGACACCAAGGCGGCAGACGCTCTGTAAGAGAAACACCAAGGCGGCAGACTCTCCTGTAAGAGACCCCAAGGCGGCAGATGCTCTGTAAGAGACCCCAAGGCGGCAGACTCTCCTGTAAGAGACCCCCAAGGTGGCAGACTCTCCTGTAAGAGACCCCAAGGTGGCAGACTCTCTGTAGGAGACCCCAAGGTGGCAGACTCTCACCCCAAGGCGGCAGACTCTCTGTAGGAGACCCCAAGGCCAGACTCTCTGTAGGAAACCCCAAGGTGGCAGACTCTCTGTAGGAGACCCCAAGGTGGCAGACTCTCTGTAGGAAACCCCAAGGTGGCAGACTCTCTGTAGGAGACCCCAAGGTGGCAGACTCTCTGTAGGAAACCCCAAGGTGGCAGACTCTCTGTAGGAGATCCCAAAGTGGTAGACTTCAGGGAAGATTGTCAGATTGCTGTGGTCTAATAAAGTCAGTGAGGCATCTGTCTCCAGGGGGCCAGGGAAGGGATGGAGATGGACAGTCTATCAGCCTTGTGTAAGCTTTGAGTAGACCAAATGGTTTTTTTTTGTTGTTTGCTTCTTTTTACTCCAGTTTTGGTGAGACTGCAGCAGTCTTTGAGAGGGTGTTCATTAACGCTGCATTTTCCCATCTGATATGCAGCTTTAATGAACACCCTCTCAAAGACTGTTGCAGTCTCACCAAAACTGGAATTAAAAAAAAAAGGGAAAAAAAAAAAAAAGGGAAGGTTGCACAGTACAGTATCAGAATCACAAGTGTGCTATGTGTGGGGCCTCAGCAGGTTCTATAAAACTCTGAATAATACCCACCCAAAAGGCAGCCGTTTGGTTGTTTTGAATGAAGGTTCTACTGACCCGATGGATCAAAACAAATGAAATGGAACCAACAGTCTGGACTGTTTTATGGCACTGATAAAAAATTAGTGGTGGTGGGTTGTCATGATTTATGCCGCCATATTTTTTTTTTTTTTGCAATCCAAAGCTGGTTTAAAACAGGTGGGATGCCAAACTTTGGCACAGCGGTAACATTTGCGGTTCAACATTAGCAGTCCATTGACTCAGTATTTAGAGGAGACCCGTCACAAACATCCCGGAGACATCATTCTAAGTACCCACAAAGCACTTACAGAGGTAGAAACACAGCTCAGCAGCGCCTCCTCCTGGCAGCACAGGGCCGCTACTTCTTTTATCTGTTTGCAATGTGCTTGAAATAGTAGTATCCCCTAGAAGAAAGAAAGAGCAGGTTCCATTACAGGTGGAAGATATGGATTCCCAGGCATAGCCCTCATGGCACACAGGTTAACCAACATCTCCCTTTTATGACCACTAACAAAAATCTTTGCTGCTATTAAGGGAACATGTAGTAAACAGAAATACAGGAAGTTCCTCAAGTCACTACATGGGCAAAGGTTGGTGAACACCTGACCATTACACCAACCTACAGTTGTGGCCCAAAATTATTCAACCCCCACTGAAATTGAGTGTTTTGGCCAGTTTGACATTGCTTTTGATCATTCAGTCATCTTGCTTACATTTACATTAAAGAGGCACTTGTAGGTCAGACAAATATAACATAACAGTTATAATGAAATAACCACAAATGTCTTTTCTGTGCTCACAGCATTATCAGTTTTTATTCAACCCCCAAGTGACATTCAATCTTAGTACTTAGTACAGCATCCTTTTACAGTTATAACAGCTTTTAAACGTGAAGCATAGCTTGACACAAGTGTCTTGCAGCGATCTACGGGTATCTTCGCCCATTCTTCATGGGCAAAGGCCTCCAGTTCAGTCACATTCTTAGGCTTGCGCACTGCAACTGCTTTCTTTAAGTCCCACCAGAGGTTCTCAATCGATTTAAGTCTGGTGACTGCGATGGCCACTCCAAAATGTTCCAGCCTTTCCTCTGCAACCATGCTCTAGTGGACTTGGAGGTATGCTTGGGATCATTGTCCTGTTGAAAGGTCCAACGTCTCCCAAGCCTCAGGTGTGTGACGGACTGCATCACGTTTCCATCCAATATCTCCTGGTACTGAAGAGAATTCAAGTACCTTGCACACGCTGAAGCTTCCCTGTACCTGCAGAAGCAAAACAGCCCCAAAGCATGATTGACCCCTCCACCATGCATCACAGTAGGCAAGGTGTTCTTTTCATCATAGGCCTTGTTCTTCCTCCTCCAAAACATAGCGTTGATTCCATGGGCCCAAACAGTTCTAATTTTGTTTCATCAGTCCACAGAACACTATCCCACAACTTTTGTGGTTTGTCCACATGCTTTTTGGCATACTGCAGTCGACTCTTCTTATTCTTTAGGAGACAGCAAGGGGTACGCCTGGGAGTTCTGGCACGGAGGCCTTCATTACGCAGTGTGCGTCTTATTGTCTGGGCTGAAACTTCTGTACCCACATCTGACAAATCTTTTCTCAGTTCCTCAGCAGTCACACGGGGACTTCTCTCCACTCTACGCTTCAGGTAGCGCACAGCAGTCGAAGTCAGCATCTTCTTTCTGCCACGACCAGGTAGCGTTTCAACAGTGCCCTTTGCCTGAATTTGCGAATGATGCTTCCTAAGGTGTCTCTTGTATGTTTTAACATCTTTGCAATCTTCTTATAGCCATTGCCCTTCCTGTTAAGAAAATCACCTCTTCTCTTTGTCTTCCTGGACCATTCTCTTGCCTTCACCATGTTTGTAACCACACCAGTAAATGTCTAGAAGGAGCTGAGTATCACAGTCATTTTAAAGCTGCCTAATTGGGCTTATTATGCTTGATTGCTGCTCGGTGACATCCCAAGGTGTTTTCAATACCTGATGGAAAGCACCTGTAAAAACCTCTGTTCTTCAGAGTGGTAGTCTTTAAGGGGTTTAATAATTGTGGCAATGAAGAAACCACATAAGAACCATTTACTACTGTATTACATAAACAATTGATGTCATTTTAGTTGCATTTGGGTAGTTTAAACGACTCCTTGTAGGATTTGATTCTGAATACAATTCCAAATGTACACTATAGTCCCTAAACCCCTTTACAGCATTGGGGGTTGAATAATTTTGGCCACAACTGTATATGACAAAAAGTTGGACGACTGATAGTCACACCTACCTATAAAAAGGGAAAAAGTGGTGACACCTGACCATCACATCTTCCTATATGGAAGACAGTTGATGGGCACCATCACGTCCAAATGTATGCAAAACCCTCTCCCTCCAAAGGATGGAGTTCAGGCGTTTCCCTTAAACATTCACCCCCTTCTTGGCCAGGCCAATTTTCAGCGCTATCACACTTTGAATGCCAATTACTCAGTCATGCAACACTGTACTCAAATGCAACTTTTATCACTTTGTTCACACAGAGCTTTCTTTTGGGGGTATTTAATCACTGGGGTGTGTTTTTTTGTTTTTTTGCTAAAAATGTTGGAGGGAAAAAAAAAAAAAAAAAAAAACACTT